TCTGTGTTCTCTGCATTTGTCTCTCCTCCTCCAGGGTGTTCTACATAATAAGACATTATAATTATTTTTACGTGTTATAAAACCACTATTTCAGTATAAAAAATTTAATATGAAAAGTAAAAATACTTACGAAAGTCTGTTCCGCATGGGTATTAACCCAAGAGTCCTTGCGACGATGCATGTCCGCCTAATTGTCTATAGCAGACATCAGCTCTTGGGTCTCCGTACTGGCCTGTCAAATAAATTACATTTATTAAAATTCTTAAATTCTAACTAAATTTCGGCAGCATAACGACTTATTTTTCATATGATCCAAAAATCAAAACCTGTAAAAAAATAACTTTAAAAGATTTCGGCACACCATAACTACAAGATGTGCCACCCAGAACAAGAATCACAAACATATAAATATGATAATGAAGTCAAAAAATAAGTACTAACCTTCTTATTGCGATGCTGAGAGTACGATAACCGACCATGTAAGCTTGGATACTTTTGGTTGCTGTGATTAGTTTTATTTGTCTCTGATATTTTCTGTTTATGATTAACTATAATAAGTAATAGTTACTTGAATTTATGTATAAAAAATCATCAAGTTCTAACAAATCTATAATTACTTGAAATTTGTCGCCGGAGAACCTATCACAACAACGATCCCAATGAACTTGATTTCTCATGTTCCTCGGGAGACTTTCTCTACCATAGCGTTTGTAGTGGCAGTGCAGGGAACTTTTCCAGTCCTTGTAGCACTTTGCTGCCTCCCTATCAACAACGGACCTCAGAATGCCGTTCTTGTAGTTATAGTCCACGTTAAACCAGTCCTTGCAAAACAGTTTCACATTGTTAAAACCCATTGTTAACTCTAGTATAAACTATACAAATTATTGCATAAAAAAAATACTAGCATCCGATCCTGAATTGTCCTCTTGTCCATGTCGCTAATGTCCTTCCAAGCATCGTGGAATGGCTCGCATATGTCCTTGGTATGAATACCAACCGTACTATCAAACCAGGCACCATATTTACCAAGCGCCTTCTAAGTATCTCCCGCCTCATCAAATTCTACTGTGATTTTTCCGTCTTGAAGGACCTTTTGGACGATTTCATAACCTTTTGCCCCACCCCGCCCTCTACGTTGTCGAGGTTCAGGTGCTGTAAGCATATGAATGCATTTCAAATCAACATGTACTACTACATTTATTTACTATATGATAGAACGAGAAAAAAAGTCAGAATAACATACCAGCCTCACAGTATGCGGGGACTCTGTGAGGACCGGGAGGAGGCTGCACTCTCCCTGAAGAGCCAGCACAAGTCGCTAACATACCAACCATCAATGTCTATGAACAAAATCATATTAAAACGATATTTATAAATTCAAAGAAGATCATAATATTAAAATGAAATCTGAGAAAAATGACAAAGATTACTATTCTGTAGTTCTACTCATCGTCCCTGCTAAATTGTTGATTGTCGCCATAATCATTTATGTCATCATCGTCTTCAGATTCGATGACTTCCTCTTCAACGTACTCCTTTAAAGTTTCATCGTCTTCGTCATTAATAAAATCATCAACTACGGGAGACTTATCTTTCATAATTGCATCAACATCGGAAGTGACAACATTAGATGATCCGTCATCTCGATTTAATACAAATAAGTCAATCTCTGGTAGTTCCACTACTAACTCAATATTTGTAGACTTTGTATCCTGGACTATCTTCACA